TTGTTCAAATAGTCCTTCCATTGTAAAGCAACTTCAGTAAGTTACGATTGTCTGTGACGACCGTGACTCACACTTTATTCGTATCAGCATTACTAGCATATTTTACATTAATGAAAATTTTGTCCGAGCGTTCATGAAATTTTGCTTTTCACTGTCTCGATTACTTCATATGCCAGAATGAAGCCGGATGAGGCAATCGATGCGATGTCGGCAATGTGATAAAGGGTGGATGAGATGTCGCGCAGCATGAAATGCCCGAGTATCGCTAGCATAAAACTTCCCATTGAGGCTGCAACAGAACATTTTTCATGACCAATTACTAAATCCCACATTGTTCGTAAGATAGCGATCACTGACCGAATGCATATCTGGCTTTCATGTTTAAGTCTTCAACGTCCAGCACTCGGGCCATATCGAATCGCCCGTCGAGGCTGTAGTAATGTCGATAAAGCGTATGATATAAATTGCCGAGATGAACAATCAGTGGGAATATGAAATACAACCCGATTTCATCCGACTGCGAAAATAATATCACTGACTGAAAAATGTGACTAGAGATGCTTGTACAAACACACATCCCACTGGCAAATGTCAGTGCGCAAAACTTATTTTGATACTGTGATCGGCTGTCATTCATAGCACCGTTCTCCAACGCTGCGGTTGACAGTTTTTGTAGCTCTTCTGACTAGTACTGCACCATCTGATGGACACGCGCTGGTAGATCTTGATGCTCATTTCGTCCTTTTCGTAACGTAATTAATAGCTGAATGGCGGGGAATTAGTCCTTAATCATCCCTGGACTCAGAACTTATACTAAATACAAACTGATGTTATAAGACCAGAACCAAGCAAGCTATGAACTGCTGAAATATCCACGCGATCCGCTGTAATATCCATGAAGCCACTTTAGAGCAGTGGCTTCATACTCATGCTTAATTTATTCAGACATGTCGACAGTACGCATCGGGTTGACCACTCGAAAAGCTTCGGTTTTTCACGTGTATTTTTCGAGTTTGACAGGCATTCTGGGAAAAAAGTCGGACAAGAAATTTACGACAGCCGCCAAAGAGGTTATACTTCGGCGGTCTCTGTAGATTTCTTGTCCGGCTTTTTCACTTATGCACAGAACAGTTTTAAGTGCTAGCTGGCGGTGTGCAGTCCAGGATGCGAAGGGTGTGGCTTAGTTGTGTAGGGTATTTGTGAGAGGATCTTAGTAGCACTGCTACTGGAATTGCGCGGGTGATATTGCTATTTTAATTGATTGTTTTCTAATTAAATGTTAGTTTAAATCGAACGGACAATTGAGAGACCTCGATTGTTAAGGCGATACATTGAATGAGTCGGCCTTGATGTGTTACTTCCCCATATGATAAAGTCATCGATATATCGGGTTTTGACAGTCTGAATTAATTTCATTTTGTATATCAGCAATACCAAATAGATTATTATGAGCCACTCGGTATCACTTCGCACGCGGATGGAGAACATCTTTCAGCACTTTAGTTTTCCTGGTTCTCGAGTTAGCAGTTTTCCCGCCGAAAATTTCACTTATTCGTGCGTGAAAAACCAAGCATTTTTGTGAACTGAATCTTAAATTGTACACCAAAACGAGCAGCAACTCAGTGTCCGAGTAATGACCACCTTCGACATGCAGCTTACTGCTTCACATTTTATTATCATTTTACGGTTTTACACGAAAATCTTTTTTTTCTATGCGCGTTTGACTCTTTTTAGACATTTTCAGCACACTTTGCCCTTCCAAATTACGTTTTTGATTATTCCGAGGCTGGAAGGGCATATTTCTCCTGATTTCGCCTAAAAGAATTATGGCAGAACCTCAAACTGTCTTAGGCTTCGCTGTGGATAAAATAGTTGGTTGCAAGGAGAGCACACTCCCGCCTGAATGAAGAAACGGATTACTGGGGGGATGTTACTCGACGAAACAAAAGGACAGTGAACCGACCAGCTTCAGCCGAGCACTAACAAATCACAAAAAATGTTTCTGCAAATTGAAACGGATTAAAATTTATATCGAATTTTTCCAGCTTTTATTTCGTGTAATTTGCATTGATGCAAGTGTGAAAAGTCATATCGACAACCCCCACATTTTAGTGCATCTCGTTTCCAACTACCAAACGTTGGGCATAGTACATTGCTGCTGCTGTGATTTGCAAACCTTGTAAACCACGAGTAATAAAACATTGCCGGATTGCTGATTTTCTAATTATGCGTTTTTGCTTGTATGCAAATGCAAAAACGCATAATGTGACCACCGCGGTGTATGTGCGCGCGCGCGTCTGTCCGAATATTTCAACTCGGCAGCCAAACAAGCTCCGTCGCCAAAATTTTGCCAGTGGCTTCCCCGACCAAGTGTCACTTCAGGACCGCAGTGTCAACCCTCATGCAAGTCTGGTTTCCGTGTACAAGGAGGTGAAAGTTTCGGCGGGAAAACAGCTAACTCGGGAACCGGAAAAGCTAGAAAGCTGAAATTTTGAGGCTATGTCTCCCGTCCACATAGAACTCAACGATTTCAAATTCAGCCCTAGGTGTGCGTGGGTCCCGCGTATAGCCCCGTGAAAGTTTTTGGCACGGAAATGGCTAACTCGGGAACCAGGGAAGCTGGAGAGCTGAAATTTTTTGCAAATTTTCCTAGCACAAGTACAACTTGCAATTATCAAACTTAACCCTTCAGTGTATCTAATACTCACGCACGGCCTCGTGAAAATTTTTGGCGGATAATGGCTAACTCGGGAACCAGGAAAGCCGGGGGGCTGAAATTTTCAGGGAATGTTTCCAGCCCATGTGCGACTTAAATTTATCAAACTCAGCCCTCGGGCTTGCGTGATTATCACGTGCAACCACGTGG